ACTTCTAAACGAGGGTACGGGGTGTTACAATGATAATGAACTTAATAAGAAATAAAAATAATATTTTTAAATATATATAAAAATTATTCATAACTATTTAGAATTAATCTAAAAAAAGGAACTTTTTGGGAAAACTTGTAAGTGGAAACTTTCTCAAATATTTTTAGGTACAAATAATTATAAGACCTCACCAAAAGTACTGGGGAGATTCTCAAGAGTACTTTTATAAAAGAGATAATTTCTAGATAATTATTAAATTTTTTTATAAAAGAAGAACAAAAATAAAGAGTGTATGGTAGAAATATTTAATAATATGAAAATTGTACCATGATATTTATTTGTATGCTTAGCTTCAAAATATAAATAAATAAAAGTTTTCTGATGGAATTTTAAGAAGGTTATAAGTGATAATTTTCTTAAAATTCTTAGGTAAATTGTTTTTTAAATTTTACCAAAAATGTTGAGAAATTTGAGAAATATTTCAATATCAATGGATTTTTATTTATATTTAGATGAAAAATAAAATAAATTTAAAATAAATAATTAAATGTAACAAAAAATGGAAATAAATAAAAACTTTAACCAATGATGGAATTTCAATAAATTGTAAAGGACTTTAACCAAAAGGGTTGGAGAATTTAAGAAATGTTCCACTATCAACAATTTTCATTTATCTATGTTTTTAAGAAAAATAATAATAAAATATCAGACAATTCCTAAAATTCTACTAAAAGTGTTGAAAAATTTAGAAAAATTCCAATATTAAAATATTTTCATTTATTTTTAAAAAATAAATTAATAAAAATAAGGATATAAAAAGAACAAAAAAAAACTATAAAAAGAAAGAAAGAAGAACAAAGTGAAATAAGAAAACAAAAGATTTAATTGAAGTTTCATCATAAAATACCGAAATAATTTGACACTGGAATCTCTTCAAGAAAAGAAGTGATTTTCGTTAACGTTTTTAGGGTGAGGAGATTCTTTAGACTTATGTTAAAAGTGTTGGGAAAGCTTGAGAAAAATAAATAATAAAAGCATACTAATAAAAATAAAAAAATAAAAAATGAAAGAAAAAGATAATAAATAAATATGGGAAATATAAGCACAAATGAAGTAAAGGTTTATTAATTAAGATTAAGATAGGATGGCACATAATTTAATTGGTACTTTTTATTTTTGAAGAGTAATTGGTATCATCTATTGAATGGGCATCGTAAGGGTGCTAATACTTTTAGCATGTGTAAACCTACTCTTGAATCCACTATATACTAGAATAAATATTGATTTAATTTTTTTATAGAATATTAGGTTAATTACGAGATATATAAAAGTTATGCTATCGAACAAAAGGATAATTTGACTTAATTAACTCTATTAATAATTTGTTAAATCTATCTTTAGAATGGAATTAATTAATACATCTATACTTAGACAAAGAACTTTTAGTGGTTCCTAGGGTTTGACTTTTCTCGTACATAAGAATTCTTAAGGGGTTTCAATAGAATTAAATACGATTAGTGGTACCTGATGTTAACAACATTAATGGTCAGTTTTAAGCAATGTTAAGGGGAGGGATTTGATTGTAGAAAATTTCAAAATTCAGAGATTAAATTGACCAATTTTGAGATGGAGATACTAAATCGACGAAAACTCCATAGAATAGAGAATTATGAGGTACTTTGACCAAAAAAAAAGTAGTGTGCTTAGTTTAATTATTTTTTATATTTTTTGTATAAATTGAAAGTTAATGGTTTTAAATTACTTATTTTAAAATCTTTCAAAAAATGGTTTTAAATTAATAAAGAATAACCTTCTGTAACAGTATATTTTTCGTACAAACATAATACTAAACAAAATATTGTAAAAATACCCAATTAGTCCTTATATGACAGATCTTTATTCAATTTAGTTCCAGTATTGTACAATTTTGTTAAATTTTGTACTTTATATTTTTATTCAATTTAATTCTTATGATGTGGAGTCAAAAAACTTTAGTGAAAAAAAATTAAAAAATTTTCAAATAAAATTTTTTTACAAGTGTTTTGTTTAGCATGCCACGTCATTGTTGCCACATCAATATAGTTTGACATGTCGGCACCACTTTAGCACCATTAATAGTCAATTTAGATGGTGTCAGTGGCAGAGACTCAATTGTATAAAATCTCAAAGGATAGGAATTACATTAGCTAGTTTTGGGTAAAAAGACTAAATTGATGAAAACGCCATAATACATGGACCTATGACGTACTTTAACCAATTAAATGCTACTGATATTAATTTGTTTTTTTCTACTTCGTCAGACACTAGAAATGAAGAAGTGCAATTTATAATTATAACTTAGGATTACTATTTGTTGAATATACTAATTATTTTAACAAAACCTTTCTTTTCATTAAAAAAACCAATAATATAATACTACTACTCAATAATGATTATAAATGGGATTCAATTTCGAGTAAATCCAATGTGTTGAATATCGAAATCCGTTGACTCCTAGGCAAGAAAGTTTTACCGTATGTGACATGCAATGAAGAGTCCGGGTATCCAGCCCTGCACCACTAGTTACGCTTCTTCCTTCTTCTAAAATTTCTCTTTGAATACCGTGATTCTAAGCCCTGAATTTAACTGTCAAACCACATAAAAGTTTATATGCTAATTCAATTGAAAAAACTTTCTGCTAGGGTTATTTTCTTTGTCATTTCCATAATTTTCAAGTCAAGGTATGTAGTTTCTAACTGATGACATTCCGTTGGAAGTTGGATAGTAACTTCGTCATCACCATGTTCACGATCAGTTCTCTATTTAAACCCTCGTTCTTCCTTTGTTTTCAACCACTCAACCTTGTCGATCTAGTGTTTGTAGCAAAGTACAATATCATCGTTCCTTTCCTTCCATTTCTTTCCTCCTTTCCCCTGTCAAAACCAATGGCTTACCTTAGCACGAAGGTAATAATCCACACCGCTGTCAAAGTGTTTGCAATTGCTTTGCTCTTATGTTTGGCTTGTCAAGCTGCTGCTGCTCGTGTGACTCCTCAAGACCATTCCCCTATAACACCACCGGGTTGTAATGTAACAGGAAACACCCCGCGTACTGGTTGTCCACCATCACCAGCAAAGTAGATGAACTTCCCCCCATACTTCTACAGCCTCTCCAATAAAGCTATATATTGAATCGTTTCTTTCTTCATTTCTTTTTTCATTTATGTTTTTCATTGAACATTGCTTGGAATAATTCGTATATGATCATATATATAATAGTAATTATTCTTTTATTTTGTATTATTCATTCCTTTTATATATATGTCTTTTAAATATAAATAAAAATGTTTTAAAAAAGATCACATCTGATGGTTAGAAACTTAAAAGTTCCCTTTGGAGCTCTTTGAAGTTCGAATCCTAAAATGAATGAGGTATATTTTACAAGATAAAAGGGGACTACTTCCTATTGTGTAGTTCAAAATATTTATGTAATAAAAAAAATCACCATTCAAATTTAGCTCAAAGATAAAGGTTGATCAGTGATCAAAATTTGGGTAAAAATTCTAGATAAGGTATATTAGTACTTTCTCTTATTTAAAAATAATATGGAATAAAGATCATTTCTTCTCATGATTTTGTTTGTCATGAATATCTATTGATATCAAACTAGAAGTAAAACAAGAGAAATGTTGTGGAAATTGCGGAATTATCTCTAAAGAATTACTTAAGATTTTACCCAATCAACAGAATAAAGAAAGAAAGAAATCAAGCGCACCCATAAGTACATAAGAATTTACATAATTTGGTCTTTTGATGATTTACATCCACGAGTAATGCAACAGAAAAAGATTTACTAAAAGAAAAAAATTAAAAGATTGCAAGAACAGTCTCTAGGGTTGTCAACAGGTAGGGTACCCTTAATTTCGAGGTATTCGAACCCTAATCCCATAAAACATCAAATACCTGAACCCTATTAACTAATCAAATAATTTTAAAAATTACTACCTTAACCCTAACCCTACTATGTTCCTACTACCTTATAATTAACCTAATCCATTTAAGAACCCGATTAGATGAAAAAATTATTAAAATTCTCTTCATGGGTACCAAATTATTAGCTTTAAAATTTTATAGTTTTGATCATAACAAAATGATCAAATTTGCTTGAGCATTATTTGAGTGATCCTTGACAAGTTCTTGAAATGATTTAACTCCCATACATTTATTCTTACATAGATACAAGCTTGACTCTTAAAGTTATTGAACTATATCTATAAGCTTGTATAACTTAAGTATATGAGTGCTTATGATTCCTATTCATCAAAGTTTGATTTAGAGATTAAATTAAAAACTAGATGCATTATCTAAAGGGAAACAACTCATTATGCATAATGATTTGAAGAATTCATATTGAACATAGCTATTGCACTATTGATCTATTAGTGTTTTGTCATCATCAAAAATAAGAGAAAGAAAGAATGCTGACGCTATGTGTGTTTGATGGTAACAAAACATTTCCATTCATTGATGTCTAATTATATTATTTATGTGTGTAGGAGAAAGCTTAAATTCATTAATATATTAGTATTTGAAAGCAAGGGAAGATACTTGTTCAGCTACAAGATGGGTTAATTGGTCAAACAAGCAAAAGAAAAAAGAGCTTTAGTGAAGACAGATTAGTCTGAATTGACTAACATAAATCCTTAATCAATTAAAGCAATTTTGGATGCTACACTAAGGACAGAAAAAAAAGTCTTAATTGTTTAACATAAGGTTTAATCAATTAAACGAGGACTGGATGCAAACTAGAAGCCTTTTAATCAATTAAAGGAAAAGAGTTAACTAGTTAAACGTTAAAGATAAAGTGTCAAGAAGCGCCAAAATTCAAATTCAAAATATTGATGACCGTCCAAGGCAACAAA